AAGGAATACCCCACCGATTCCTTTCCGGAAAGCTAAGGAACCGGACGCCGAGCCCGCTATGGTCCGGTGAGGTCTGCTTGCCGGGCCATTTATGGTCTCGATAGACGCCTTGTGACTACGTAGTCGTGGACAACTATGGGCGAGTCTGGAGACATGGCCGAGGCCTGCAAGTGACGATTGCTTGGGATGCCCTAAGTCGTGTCCCGAGACCGTAGCAGAGAGTTCTCTAAAGGGATCCCATCAGGAGGCACCGAGCCCCTAGGGCCAATCGAATGGCCCCGCACCCGCTTAGGGAATCCTTCTCCTCGTACTTTTTGGAGCGCTGCTGGACCACTAGCCGACCCCCCTATCGAATGGGGTACGGGCCTCCACTGACTTACCCGATAAAAGCTCACCACAATGTCACACTTTCCGCGCCCACCGAGGGTAGCCTAGCATGTTCCACCCCTCCTTTCGAGCGAAAAGGATGCGCGAGGGTCGTATAAAAAGCCGAGAGGAACCCCGATCGCCCTTCCGCCTCCGCTGCCAAGGCTCGAGGGTTCTTCCCGCAACCTTCTTCGAGACCCAGCAGCCTAGGCTCTGCGCACATGAAGGGCTCGGCAAACAATCCCTCCTTCGAACGAAAAAGGATGCGAGAGTCTTACAAAAGCCGGGGAACTCCCTGATCGTCCTCTCTCGCTCAGCGGAGGCTCGGGGCTCTTCCCACGCAACCTTGCCGAGACCCAGTGACCTAAGCTCGCGCACGCGAAGGGGCTCGGCAAACAACCCCTCCTTTTCGAGCAAAAGGATGCGCGAGGGTCGCACAAAAGCCGGGGAACTCCTGATCGCCCTCTCGCTACGCATGCGGAGGCTCGGGGCTCTTCCCGGAACCTTGCCAAGACCCAGCTGACCTAGGCTCGCAGAGAAGGGCTCGGCAAACAACCCTCCTTCCGGAGCGAAAAGGATGCGCGAGGTCGTACAAAAAGCCGGGGAACTCCCGACGCCTCTCGCTACGCAAGTGCGGAGGCTTGGGGATCTTCCCGCAACCTCTCACACCCGAGGGTCGGAAAAAACGCTGACGAAAAAGGGCACCAAGCCCATTACGGTCCAGGGTGCGAAGGTTGGGTCATCCAGGCCTCGACAACCGCCCCCAGACAACAGTGAGTCGGGGACAACTATGGGCGAGCCCAGACACGGCCGAGACCTAGGCAAGCGATTGCTTAGGTTGCCATAAGTCGTGTCAAGAGACCAGCGGTGTTCTCTAAAGGGGATCCCACCGTGAGGGAGGCACCCGAGCCCCAGGGCCAATTGAACGGCCCCAGCACCGCTAGAGAAGCCTTCCGGTATTTTTTTTGGAGCGCGTCTACGGATCACTAGCGACCCCTATCGAATGGGGGCACGGGCCTCCACTCGGACTTACCCCGATAAAAGCTCACCGGAAATGTCACCGCTCGCGTCCAGGGGTAGCTGGCATGTTCCACCCTCCTTCCGAGCGAAAAGGATGCGCGAGGGTCGCATAAAAAGCCGAGGAACTCCGATCGCCCTCTCGCTCCGCCTGCTGGAGGCTCGGGACTCTTCCTAACCTTGCCGAGACCCAGTGCCTAGGCTTCGCATACGAAGGGCTCACAAACAACCCTCCTTCCAAAACGCGAAAAGGATGCGCGAGGGTCGTACAAAAAGCCGTGTTCGAATATATTCTAAATCCTACCTATTAGTTGTATAATAGCTTACCCGTAAGTTGGCACCTTATGCAATGCTTCTTTTAATAATTTGCCCTGGGTGCAACTTGTATTATTTGGGTCGCTACTCTTGTCTTGTTAATAAATGTCCCTCCAACTAACTGTTGGTCATGTTTTTCGGTTTATAAATGGGTTTTATAATAACTTACTCCTTCGGTTGGCAGCTTATGTAAATGCTTGTTCTAATAATTTGCCCTAAGATTGCAGCTCGCCTTATTTTGTATGGCTACCCTCACTTTTTAATAAATGCCCCAAGTTGGCAGCGAGTTATGTTTCCTGGATTTTTGTAATGTGTTGTATAATAACTTGTCCCCTAATTGACAGCTTATGTAATGTTTATTTTAATAATTTGCCCCTTCCTGATTGTTTTGTTTTTGGCTCCGTTACTCTTTTTTTAGGGGTGAATATCTTTATGTAAATAATATATAATATATTCTCATGGCAATAATCGATCGCATACTCATATCATGTAAAAACTTTAGTATATTTTTGAATAGCAAATTTAGTATTTCGTGGTAACAACTTTTTCATAAATCACCTAGCACATTTTTTTACGCATAAATTGCTACTAAAATAAAATTCTTCAAAACATAGTCACGTCGGCGGTCTAGTTTTGTTCGTTTTATCACGTAGAACATTTTGGTGCAAACGGAATTGAAAATGAATACATCATTTAAAAATTATACCAATTTAAATAAAATATTTATGTTTTATTGGTTTCCGTGCCGCTTGAACACAGGCTTCGATGCATGCGCAGAGGCTGCAGGCCTGTCAATGCATGCCAGGCGCGCGCATGCAATAGGGTCTGTCGGGGCGCGGACGCTTGACTACTCATGTGGAAGTGGGTCTCGGCGTGCGGGGACTGCCGCCGTGGTCCTTGCAGTGTCAAGATTGGTGTTGCGACAAACCCTGCCACGCCTCCGTCAGCGTTTTGTTCGCCACGCGTCAGTCCTCTCGCTCGCCGCCCCACCATACATGTCGTCACACGAGACATTTTGCGCGCCATGACAATAAGCGCGCCAAAAAATGTTAGATTTAGAAAAAAAATTAAATAATATTAGATTTAAAATTAGTTTAAAAAAGTGTTAAAATTTTAAAAAAAAATCCCCTCCGACGCCCTGCGGATATATATATATATATATGCAGCGGTAGCGGCTGCTCTGCTCTCCCACAGTCGCTGGTGTGGTGGGTCCGTGTGGGTCCGTCGATGTCGCCGTTTCCGACTCCGAGCAGGCAACTGTCAACTGTGGTTTGCAGCGGCGTCCTCGGCTACCGACTGTGACAGCGGGCAACCGTCAACACGCAGATGACGACTTCTTCCTCACGGCGCACGCCCTCGGCGTGGCCAGCGACATGCTGGTGCTGTCGTGCGCGCTGACGGAGGATACGCGGCACGTGGTGGACCGGGGCGCTGGGCAGGGCGGCGTGCTCGTCAACGTCGGCCGCGGCGGCCTGGTCGACGAGCCGGAGCTGGTGCGGTGCCTGCGGGAGGGCGTCATTAGCAGCGCCGGGCCGGACGTGCTGGCGGAGCTCCTCGCCATGGACAACATCGTGCTGTCAGGCCACAGGGTCGTGCTCACGTCGGAGTCCATGTGCTCCAACCCTCGCGCCAAAAGACCGAGCGGTCGGGCCAAAAAGAGCGACGTCGCAGGATAGAACGCCTGGGACACGATGGTCCATTGGATGGCTTGATGCCTCCGAATTACCATCCGTAACACCTTGTGTCGAAAAACTGCTTATATGGCCCCAGCTCTGCACGTCTGAAACGACAACGTTTATAAGCTGGTTCTCACCCTCCTAAATTTTTAAGGTGATACTAAACCCACTAATCACAACCACAAGTGTGCCACTTGAACTATATGGGTCAACTTCCTCATAACTACTACAGACTACTAATAGGTCAGATATTATATTCTGTCACCAAAGCACACTACCACATTACCTCTAGCTCTGTAGCAACCGAGGAGACTCGCAATCCTAGTAGTAGAATAGAAGAAGCCAATGATGTGATTCGAGACTTGCGACAGAACTGCAAAGCACGCAAATAAAATAATGAGTACTCTAAAATAATGGAATTGCTATAACTTAGTTGTCTGAATTTTTTGTAAGTTTCAGGTAACAATTCTCAAGAGATAATTAGTACAATTAAAAGGATAACTACAGTGAGCAACTTTTTTTTGTAGCCAATAGCCAAATAATAATAAATTGCATGTTATCTGATTAAAAAAAAAGACATCAAGGGATCCCTATTCAAGATTACTACGGTTCCTTTTCGGGCGGCTGTAGGACGGACGGCCCCCTATAGGTAGTAAGGTAGGATCGGTGGTACCGCTCAGATAGCGGCCAATCCTCCTAACTGCGCGCGGGCCGGGCTTAGAGCGCGTGAAGTGATAAAAAAGTTAGCGGCCAATCCTCCTAACTGTGCGCGGGCCGGGCTTAGAGCGCGTGAAGTGATAAAAAAGACACCAGGGGAAGTGATAAAAAGACAAGATGAGAAAATCAATACACATGATTGTGACATCCCTGATCCAAATGAGCTCGTCTATAGCAACATGCAAAGAAAACATACATGCTGAAAACTTCAGAAAAATCCAGTACGAAAGTAAGGGATTATGTTAGATTAGACTAGCCAATCCAGACACGCCGCCTGAACTCACTAGACTTTGGACAAGCAAAGCCAAACCACCTCCTCTTCATTCTTAAAAAAAGATGATTGGACCTGGCCCATCGATTCACAAAATCACAATATTATAATTCCATTGTGAAATATGATAACGAAACTGAGGAATCACATCGCAGAGCACAGATTGGCAGGTGACACATGAACGTTGTAGGAAATTTGTACTCCTACTTTAGTTCAAATGGAACTTGTGACAAGTATGGCTTCCAATCCCCTCTACTACACATCCAAGAGCTTGAGCATGACCGGGAGCCCTTTTCGAGGGCTGCAGCGTCACGAAGTCCACCGGCGCGTGCACGTACTCCGGCAACCACCGCAGGATGAACGCCAACATGGCCTTGGCCTCCAGCATCGCGAAGTCCTGCCCGATGCACGACCGCTGGCCCAAGGAGAAGGACAGCAGCGCGTTCGGGTGCGCCGCCGCCCTGCCAATGCCGTCCCGGAACCGGAGCGGGTTGAACGCGCCGGCGTCCGCGCCCCACACCTCCTCGTTGCGGTGAAGCATCGCGATCGGGATCAGCAGGCGGGTGCCCTTGGGCACCTTCATGCCGCAGAGGTCCGCCTCCGCCGTCGCCTGCCTCGAGATAATCGGCACCGCGCAGTACAGCCGGACTGTCTCGTACAACACCATCGTCACCTGCGAAACAACATAAGACCATGGCTGTGATGCACGCTCGCCGGCGGTCACCGTGTGCATATACACCGGCTAGCAAGCTTAATACTACCTCCGTCCCCCAAAAGAATGCAATTCTAACATAGTATCATATTTTAGTATTTTAAGTTTGACTAATTATAGATAAAAAAAATATCCATGCTTATGATACCAAATAAGTATCATCAGATTAATTATGAAATTTAGTCTCATAATAAATTAATTTAAAACCATAAATATGAATATTATTTACTAAAAATTTGGTCAAAAGTAAACCACTTATTGTGGCACACAACCTTGCATTTTTTTTGAGGACAGAGTGTCGGATACCAGAAAATAGGGTACCCCAAGCAAAGATCGAAGAACTGCTTAGACCATAAAAACAGAACCAACGGAATAAACAAACGAGGTCTCGGCCGAAATCTCCGATTCGCCCGAGACCCCGTCGTCGAGCCCCAGCGGAAGCAAACGATTCTCCGACTAGCCCGAGACCGCCTCGCCGAGGCCCCTCGTCGAGCCCCCTCGCCCGGGGCCTCGGAAGAAGTGCCGATTCTCCGATTCACGCGAGGCCGGCTCGGGACCAGCCCGTGACCCGCACTGCTTCGACCAAACTGCTCTGACCGAACGTCGCATCCAGCGCCCAACCACTCCGACCGGACGCACGATGGCACAATGACAGGGAGTGACCGACTACACGCCAACAAGGCGTCAACCTCACGCCATCTGCGACGGGCAAGCAGCGCGGGGTTACCGACCATCATGTTGCCTAACTCCCCGCACTAAGGACATCGCAACGTGGGGAGTCGAACGGGTTCCTCAGAGCCTCGGAATCAGCGGACCGACCGCTCCCGTCTCGCCCGAAGCCCCTCGGCAGGGCCTCGATTCACCGATCTTACTCCGCCGCCCGTTCGCCTCGAGACCCCGGTAGGGCCTCGGACGAATTGGCCGCTCCCGCCTCGTCCGAGGCCGGGCTCAAATCCGCAACCTCGTCGCCTCCGCCTCAAAGGTCTCTCGGCGGTCGTCGCATCCGATTAATGCGCCAACGCACCCGCCACGTAAGCCACGATCGGCAATGCGCTACAACAGGAAGCGACGGACAACGGTCGATCACCTTTTTACCATCCCTTATCGACAATACAGTACCAGATCCCGTAGGGGCGCATCGTCTCGCACTATTCCGCTGATGGCGGCCGAGACCCGATACGCGCACTGGTCACTTCTCGAGGCCTCGCACGGCAGGTCTCGGCAAGACGACCGGCTATGATGGCGCCCGAGCTTACGCAATCCACCAAGCCAACAAATGCGCGGCATGTTACTTGCGATGGAGACCATACCGATTAGACATCTACGAGAACTCCCACGACAACGCCATGCTGCTCTAGGAGTAAATACGTCATCGAATAGTCCGCTCCACGTGTAGCTCTCTTATGTACTCCTGGTTTCCTCCTGCGGCTATAAAAAGGAGGCGGCTGGACCGTTTCTAGGGACGGCGGATAGAGTCACGAATACTCTCACACGAACAACACGCCTCATTCAGTAATTCATATCACCTCCCCTCACGCAGAGATCCGGGACGAACTCCTCTCTCGCCCTGGCTTGTAACCCCTACTACGAGCACCCCGTGCAAGGAATACAGGAACATCTTCTCGAGATCGGACGTAGGGCATCCATTGCCCGAACCAAAGATAAACCTTGTGTCTCTTTGCATCACGATCCGGAATTGGGAGCACGCAAAGACAAATTCACTAGTCGGTTAAGGACCCCGGTTTGAAACGCCGGCCGGTTGGCGCCGCCAGTAGGGGCCTCTACGTGTCGACTTAGTCATCCCACCAGATTCGGATGGCGAGATCCCGTCACGATCGTTGCGTCTCGGGGCGATCGTGCAGTTCGGGAGCCTAGAATTCATGTCTCTAGGGCACGAAAATACGACATTATACTCCTCTCACCCAGAGCGCCATCAACCGGCGATGATGTCATACACCGGCAGCCCACTCGGACGGGCGCCGGGCCCCGCCGCTTCCCCGTCAAGCTTCGCTTAAGCGCAACGCTGGCGAGTCCACCTTAACACTGCAAGTCGAACGCCGATCATGCTCCACCGAATCCCATACCCGGCTGGCGCACAGAGTCCTGCGACGGGGACCTGCCCGGCTTAAGCCTCGGCGGGGAAAAGGGCGGTGGCGCGCAAATGACGCCCCATCATCAAGCTCATCCCGCCTCCTCCCGACGAGCCACCGCGGCGGCAGAGAGCACAGCGGCGCGCCATCCCCATACCCTTTCGGGCTGACTAATGTCGCCGCCTCCTATGCCACGCGCCTCGCCTCCATTCATCAACGTCATGCCCATAACCCCATAGTCACAACTCCAATCCACCCCCACTCTGACTCCTCGGAGGAGGACGAGGCATGGGTTGGGGCAGACTTCTCCGAGCTTCGCGACCCTGAGGCGATGCGCCGCTTCATGATCGCGAGGGACTACTGCTTCGGCTACTCTGATTCCGACGGCGAGGACGCTTACGACCCGACTCGTGAGTGTTTCCACATCGGACTCGGAATGCCGAGCACGGGCAACGATGGAGGAAGGGCAACCAACGCCACACCACCACGCACGGGGTCCTCGCCAGCGGCGGCAGGTGTCCCCACCCCCGAGCAACTGCGATGCATAGACCTAGAGCAGCTCCGTGAGCTTCAAGCCAAGGTCGAGCAAGATCGACTCCTCCTGCAGCAGCTCCGAGCCACCCTTGAGCAAGAGCAGCGGGGGCGCGGCGATGGCGAAATGGCCCGGCTGGGGGCTCGCGACGTCAACCACTGCATTAACGATGATGAGGGGGGCGAGCAACCCCCTGTCTTCAATCGCGCTAGCCAGAACGTCGCTACGGCGGCAATACTGGTCCGAGCGATGCCCGAGCCCTCTACCATGGAGGGGCGACGAGTCCACGACGAACTCCGGGGCCTTCTTGAGACTTACCTCTGTACCGTCTCTTGAGAAAATCTGAGCGCTTTTCCTGGACCCCCGAGGCCGAGGAAGCACTCACCAAACTCAAAGAGTTGCTCTCCACCCCCCCCTTCTAGTACCACCGATCGAAGACGAGGCCCTCTTGCTCTACGTCGCCGCAACGACCCAAGTGGTCAGCGCGGCCGTAGTGGTCGAGAGGCAAGAAGAGGGGCACGCTCTACCCGTCCAATGACCTGTCTACTTCATCAGCGAGGTGCTTTTCGATACTAAGACGCGCTACCCCCATGTCTAGAAACTAATCTACGCCATAATCTTGGCTCGACGCAAGTCAAGTCACTACTTGAGTCCCACCCAAAGGACTGTGGTGTCATC